CCCCAAAACCCCAAAACCCCAAAACCCCTATCTTTGCTAACTTATTCAGACATAAAATATTTAAATATTAAAAGACCGCCAACAACTATGGATTTTGATGAGAATATTGCCGAGCTTGAGAAAAATACTCAGCTTCATGGAAGCCAAGATGAGATTGGATTCGGACTGAACTCCCAAGAGTTAAGAGAACTCGAACATAAATCTGATGCAGTGATATTTGCAATTGATTGCAGAAGTTCGATGTTTGTACCAAATGATTACAATGATTCTGGCCTTTGTAATTTTTCAACAGTAATTAAAGCTGCAACTGGATTCTTAAAATCAAAAATAGTATCAAGTAACTCAGACCAAACAGGAATCATTCTTTATAATTGAAGCAAGAGCCTCAATTCAATGAACTTTGAAAGTGTCTATGTTCTCAATGCTCTAGACAGACCAAATGCTGAGAACATTAAATCCTTAGAGAGTCTTATAGACACTGAAAATATAAGATTTAGTCCGAGCGATGAGGAAACACACCTCTCAGAATTATTATGGACATGAGATGAACAATTTACAACACTCAAGGAAATTGGGAGTCCAGATGGTAACTCCCAACCAACCCAAACAGAGATAAGCTCTTACTCAAAAAGGATCTTTCTTTTCACTAACGAAGAAAATCCAATGTCTAATAGCCCCAGAGGTCAGGAAGAATCAATAGAAAGGGCACAGAAATTAGTAGGAAATGGCATTGAAATTGAATTATTCCCAATGAGCCATCCCCAAGAAGACAAAACAAAGTTTGACGTTGATATATTCTTCTCAAATATTCTTAAAATTGACGACAATGATTTTGAAAGTGCTTATCTTCGTATCCAAGATCTCAGTAAGAGAATTAGACTAAAAGAGTTCAAAAAGAGAGTACTTGGAAAATGAATGTTCTCAGTGGCAGGATCAATGAATGTGGGGCTTAAATTCTACACCCTCACTAAGAAAACTACGAAACCTTCTGCTAAGTTTATCAAAAAAGCCACAGGCAAAGAGCTTAAATCCTTAACGAGGTACATTTGTAAAGAATCAGGAAATACTTTATATCGAAGCCAGATAGGGACACATTATCCTTTAAAGAACAAAAAGGTTATCATCACTGAAAAAGATATGAAGAAAATAAAGCATTTTGAAGAACCTGGGATGAAACTTATCGGATTTAAGTCCAGATATAGTATTCATATATACCAAAATGTTCGTCCTCCTTATTTCATATACCCAGATGAGAATACCATCAAAGGGTCATCCCAAATGTTTCATGCCATGATTGAGTCCCTTGTTAAGAAGGATAAGGTAGCCTATGTTAGATTCATACCTCGAGAAGGAGCTATGGTCAGATTTTGATATCTTATTCCTCAAAAAGAACAAGGAGTTAAAGAAGGCTCAGAGGAATATTTGCCTCCTGGGTTCCATCTAATATTTGCTCCATATGCAGAAGATATTCGAGAAATTGAAAATGAGCTTTCCCATGACCAAAATTTGAAAGAGCCTTGCAAGAGCGAAACCAAAATAGCCAAAATTTTTGTTAAAAACATGACTATTGACTTTAACTCAAGGAATTTTGAAAACCCATCAATTCAAAAATTTTACTCTGGCCTCCAATCAATCGCTCTTGATCAAAAAGATCCAGAACAAATTCAGGATAGCCTCGAGCCAGACCAAGAAGGCATGAAAGCAATGGAGCAAGTGTTTCAAAATATGAAGGAAGAATTTGAGCTTGGCAAGATTCAAAAGAAAGTTCCTGCTGCTCCTAAGGCAAAAAGAAGTAAGTCTTGGTGTTAATGAATAGAGAGAAAAGATGATATTGATGCAGATACAAATAAGTCAGACAATAACAGTGATGTAGACCAACCTCAACAGAAATAAAGTTAAAAAGAGTGACAAAGAATACAGGACAATTGAGGTTCCCAAAGTTTACACTGATAAGCAACTCTCTGATATGATCAAGAAAAACGAGATGATTGATCTAAGCGTAATGATACTGCGCCAGGCCTGTGACCAACGTCATATTTCTTATAAAAAGAAAGATACAAAAAGAGCTCTCATTAAAGCTCTGACAAAGTTTATTAAAGACACAAGCTAATTTAGTTAGGTTCAACTAGAGTCAACATTGAGGGGTTTTGGGGTTTTGGGGTTTTGGGGTTTTGGGG